CTTACCTTAAAAAAAGTCTGCTACATCCAATACGAACATTAATCATATAGTATTACACGCTGTTCTCGTAAAATAAGAAGGGCATGAAAGAAATTTAAAAACTAAATGCCATGACTTCTGTTCATGCTTCCATATACTTCTCTTTTTCATTCCTACTGTTGACTTTTTCCCAGACCTCAAAAACTGTCTGCGAAACACGTAAAGCCACTCCTTTATAAACCACACAGTCTTGCTCCTTACGTTCCTCATTGCAGTTATTTTCTGCCTCTTTGCCGAATTCAGCAGTAACCAAGTACAATCTGACTTTAGGTACATTTGTAAATTTCTGGCAATCGCAAACCCTCACATCGCAACTGTACTTAATTTCAAAAATTTTAAAAATTTTACTCCTTTACGTCAAAACCCGCCTTAAACAATCTCCCCTTCCTCTCAAAGTAAAAGGTGAGAAGGAATTCAAAAATGAAAAAATCTGACTCCAGCTCTCCATTTTCAATTTTATACATGAAATGCTAATCAAACATTAGATGTAATAAAACGTCTTCAGAATGAAACAGTATCCGTTAGAAAAAATTGAGCAGCTGTGATTTCTAAAATTAAAAATTAGGTACTACTGAGGTCTGAACAGAAGTGACAAAAGAACAAAAAATAATAAAAGTTTTAGTGGGAAATAAGCCGAGATGAACAACTGTATCAGGCGGTTCTAATTTCCTTTATTCTAAACGAACCCTCTGTTTCTGGACGTCAAAGATCAATTCGTCAACGTCTGACTGATAGGCTGCTCCGAAAAAAAAGCCACCTAAATTGTAAGCTGCTGTTGCTATTGCCAATACAGGCGATGAATAACACCACCAAGAATCTTGAGACCCCTAAAACTGCAAAACAACTACAATGAATAAAAAAACCGATCAGTACACTAGTGGAGGTAATGTAGTAAAAGTGAAAGACAAAAAAGAAAGACTCTTTGATCAAGACGAGCTGGAGCCATACTAAAATTAACAACTGCCGGTAAAGTAGGGAAAAAAGAACAACAGACTATACTCGTTGTGCCTGAAGATAACGCAATAAAAAAATATACATAAAAATAAACCGACAAATAAATAAACAAAAGTTAGAAACTTTCCTTACTTATTGTTTTACTGCTCATTTTTCACTACTGACATATTTCTATTTGTTCAATTTTTATCGTCCCCAAATTGAGCGTCCCTTTCCAACAACACCCAGTGAATTTCCACTCCCTCTCAACACTTTTCGTTAACCATCATCATCACCACCAAAAAAACTAACATCAACCGAAAACTACCACCCTCTGGTTTTTCATATGTCGCAGTTAAAAAAACTTATACAAAATATCCTTGTTCTGCAACGATATCATCAGCAGAAAAACACTCTAGGTTTCAGTAGTCTTCTTCTGATCTCAGTTTTTCTCCCTCAAACAATGCTAGAAAGAAAATAACTTCCTTCATAAACCCATTCCCATCATTCTAACCAACAGGCAATTAAATACAATATATATATATATATATATATATATATATATAT